TAATTTCTTACTTTAAAAAAATGAAAAAAAGACAAGGGTAAAAAAAAAAAAAGCGTCTGGACCTATTGCAACTTCCAAGCAGTTCAAGTCTAATCTCAGACCCAAAAACCCAACCCAAGTTTAGACCCGGATCTTCCGGACCTGAGCCGGGTCAACGGGTTTAGTCCCAGTCCTTTACTCAAAACTACATGTCCACACCGCCGACAAGTAATCCCAGGTAAAACCCGACCATAAACGCCAACAGATCGGCACCACTGGACGCAACCCAAACCCAATCAAATCGAGTAGAGAACGTTCCTCTCCGACAGCCACATTACTGGACCAGCCAGACAGCCTCGGCATCAGACGGGAAAAGCTCCGACGAAGCCCCAAGAGAGGAGACAAAAACCCTCACGCACTAATGTAGTACGTTTTTTTTAATGTTGTTAAGTTTATTTTCGATTTCTTTCAATTTTGATGGCAACTGAGTATTCATGTTTTTTGTTTTTTCAATAAAAATTCTAATCATGAACTTTCTAAATGAGTTCGATGGCCCTTGCTTTGCTACAAATAGAAAACTCAGAGTTAAAATCATAAATTTTAAATGCGTGTTTTGTCATACAATTAAACTCCAAATGAAGTTCTTAGGAATGATTTGGTAGGAGTGTGTAGCCTAGAGCCTCTAGATTAATCAGTACTTAAACACTGCCTAATGTACCAAAAAAAAAAAAAATCCAAATGAAAACACTCAACATCAGGTAAAGATTAGTAAGTAACTCCACTGATTAGGCACACGTTGTTCAAATGGCAATAATAGAACTGATATCTTAGATGAAACTAGTGTATTGCAACCGCAATGTAACATATATATGTGGAGCAATGTTTCTCCTACACACAAAGTACACAAGGTGAAAGAAAAGCTTTGTTATGTCTTGCTAAACTACTATTGCGAAACAAATGTATTGTCAATTTGCCATCTTTGCTACCTTACCTAAAACCAGCAATCTTCTCTCTCTTGTGGGTCATTCTGACCACCATCTCCTAGCATTCTTCTAGCTTGCACATATATAGTTCTTGAAAACCTGACTCATTTGAGTAACTACATTTTCCACACCATCCCCACTAGATGTAGTTTTTTTTGTCTCCTTTAGCAACTTGCTAACTCAATGCTCTGAACTAACTATTTCATTTACTGTTAGCTTCAATATTTTTGAACTTACACAAGAATTAATTATCCCTGTGGTTCCACTTGTCTTCTATGAAATTCATGTAACTTAGCAAATTTTCAGACGCTAGGAATCATCTAGATATTGTAGATATTAATGCATATCTCCGCTAACTCAAATAACATTAGATAATTAGGAGATAGTTACTAAATATACCAGATCTGGTATTCCAGTGGTGTACGTCTGGGTGGTTTATCATTCTCTGGTTCATAACAGCAACATATCTGACATAGCATAATTATAGCCACTTGTTCAAATGATGTGACATGCGGTATCAGCAAACAACTTTGCAATTTATGGTGTAAACACATTGATGGAAACAAAATCTTATTATTTATTTACTGCTAACTGGCCTGATCTCTATGCCTTGAATAATGAGACCATCATTCCTGTGACCAGCCAACTGCAAAATACTCATTTCCTTTTCATTGTCTTTGCCTCCAGTACCTCTCTCTCCATTCTCTGTCTCTATTTAAAAACAAAGTTCGTTTACAACCTTCAGTTCCAACAAGTCCAACATTTACCTCTACAAGCTGGTACTCAAATCCATAAGCTGTCTTTGTTGCCTTGAACAGAAGGTAAGCCTTATAATGCGTCAGATAAGGGGTTTTTTGCCACTCAAAGAGTTTAAGGGGTTGTATGCTACTGATTTAGGTCGAGGGGCACAACTTTTTAGTATTATTGCATTGGTACCTTTTTACTTACATACCATTACTCCCATCTCTTATTAATTTTTCTTATGAAAGCATCACGTAATTTATACTCTCGCCTTTGCTTACTCTAAACTATTTTTGCCCTTTCCATTTCTATATTAATAATTTGATTGTTATATTATTTCTCTCTTTATCCTTCGCTATATTATTCTTACTTAGTTACCCCTTGCATCTCCATCTATTATCATATGTCTTTTAAACCAAATTTTCTCTTTTTATCTATCATTAAATATATTTTTTTGTTTTCTCAAGATTACAATAACATTAAATATCTTCAAATTGCTAATAATGTAGTAATATTTGCAATAAATTTATAAACATATCCATCAAGTTATAAGTTTTAATGAATAGAAGATATAAAGCCTACATAATATCCCTACTTTTCCCTCTTTATATCAATTTGCTAAGTGCCACTTTGAATATAATATAATTTGTATCTACGCCACATTATATAAATAAAGTATAAATCAAGTTATATATTTGAATAAGTTGTTTTCAATTTTAATAATATGAAGATGTAAAAGTTAGATTATTATATGGTAATTAAAGTGGAATTTAATAAAAATTACTAAGAAGTTTGATATAATTAGCGTATTTTTAAGTATTATTATATGGAGAATTAATCTAATAAGGAATTATATGTATCGTGCTCATCATGAAATTTGAAAGGGTATTAATTTAATTTAATTGGGTTTCAACTTTCTCAATGAAGTTTTTTTAAGAGGTCCATTTGGTATTTTATTTATTTGGTATTTATTAAATATTTTAAAAGGTTCATTGTGTTTATTTGGGATTTATTGAAGAATTTAATAATTTTTATAATATATATTGAGAAAGATTATATTGGTTTGGTAGGGCAAATGATCAAACATCTAACTGAACCAACTGTGAACACCTCTAATTACAAATCTCAAATGGTAAAACAATCCCTTGTTATGGGAATGATTATTGCCATAAATCAAATAGTTAAAACCACCAAATTTAGGACTTAAATTCCATATTTAGGGCCTGTTTGGTGCAGCTTGTTGGACTTGTTGGAGCTTTTGCTTTTTTTGTACTGTTCATGAGTGATAAGTTTAAATTTTTATTGGAGAGAAAATTTAAAAGTTGTTTTTAGAGATAGGAAAAAGTAAGTAAAAAGTGAGTAAAAAGAAAGTTTATGAAAAGCTTGAATTTGAAGCTTTTGATCTTTTACTGTTTATGGTCTTTTTAAGATTAAAAAAATATTTAAAAATGTAAGTTTTTAGGAGGAAAATTTAAACTTATGAAACATGAATAGTGTCAAAAAGCTGAAAAACTTGGAAGCTGAAGCAAACAGACCCTTAATTAGGTGAACAAGCCTGTAAGTTCAAAGTGCAATGGCTTTGATAGCAACCAAACCAGAAATGGAGATTAGAAAGGAAGAATTAGGGATTTGGGAATGAATTTAGAAGAGAAGCAGGAGGAAGGAAGAAGACGATAGAGAAGAAGAAAGAAGTCAAGAGGGAGAGGAAGAACCATTTTCATCATTCATCAAAAAAACTCCTTTCAGTTACATCGACTAGGCCTTTTATAGCCACTTTACATGCATACAACCTCTATTAGCCTAGGAACAACCTTATCACAGCATAGCTAAAATGGGCATGCATCAATGCACTCTCCTTTTGACAACCTCATCCTCAAGGTTGAGAGGCTGAAATTCAGAACTTATATCAGTTTATGTATCCATGTACAACATGTACAACTCTGCCCCAAACAAGAAACATCCATATTTCTTCTATCAGACAGCACATCACTAAAATTCCAGCAACCATGTGAAGCATTTCATGAATGCATCTCCTTTCCCCTGCATTAGTATCTAACCAAGAGAGAGGGAAATGGCAATAACCACTGTGCATAACAACCAGACACATCTTCATTCACACAAGCTGAACTTAGCTTCTTGAATGAAGAGCAAACTCCAGCAACAAGTGGCATCATCATTGAGAAATTCAGCAACTCAATCCTTCTCAAGCCAGACACATGGAAAAGAACTTTGAAAATTTCCCAGGAACTAAATTGAGATGAAAATACTGCTCAAGGAATTGTGACTTCAACTTCAATTGCAGCTTTGAATACACATGTTCTCCCTCTTTCAATAGCTTGTCTTTGAAACATTTGCAATACTAAAACCACAGATGTACTCCTATGCCCTTGAAGATGTCCTCAGTCAAGGACAGGTGCCACAAAAAACTCCAATTTCTTCTTACATTTTCTGAAATTCCATTGAATCTTTCTTGAAATTACTAGGAAGCATTCCACAACCTGCAGCATCTTCTTGCACTTCTTGTAATCCCACACCACACAATTGTTCAATCCCACACAATCATCAGCATCAAACAACTTGACTTCCAACGCAGATATAGCATCTTTAATCATTTCAGGCAAGTTAACAACCATAATCCTATATTTCAATTCCACAGGATGTTCAACATACGATTCAGACTCATTTTCCTCAGGTTCTTGAGTTTTCATTTTTTCTTCTTCAAACACTAGTTCATTTTTCTTACACCTCAAAGAATATAATTCCTCAAGTTTCATCTCATCAATTTCTTTACTTAACCCCAATTGTGTACTATGGTTTGTAACTTCAAGTTCTTGATCCAAATGTGGTTTTGTTTCAAGATCAATATTTGGGTAATAGAAATTGGGGTGGGTACCAAAGGCAACTCATTTTCTCCAATTACAGTCATGCCTTCAAGATCAGATACGGAATTAAAAGTACCATAATCCCTTATATTGCAATCTTGATCGTGAATCTGGCCGAGTTGTATGAATTTGGGTTTGGGATGTTTGGCCGACTTCCAGTGCCAGTGGGTTCCATCCGCCATTGATTGCTTGTATCATGGCCAACCCATCCCTCAGAGCATTCCTTATGGCTGTCCTTAGAGCATTCTCCATGGATGACAACCTCTCCTCCAAATTTGCAAAATCAGCATCATGTTTTCTCTGGAATTCAGAGAACTCTCTTTGAAGTTCTTGAAAATCTGTATCTTCAGCCAAAGCTTCTATATTGATGAATCTTGATTCAGGTTTGTATGGTTTATGGTATAGACAGAGGCGTGAGAAATGGAATTTGGGAATTTTGATGAAATTGATACCACAGGTCAAGAGGAAATAAGCTCTGATACCAATTGATAGCAACCAAACCAGAAATGGAGATTAGAAAGGAAGAATTAGGGATTTGGGAAAGAATTTGGAAGAGAAGCAGAAGGAGGAAGGAAGAAGACAATAGAGAAGAAGAGAAAAGTTGTGAGGGAGAGGAAGAACCATTTTCATCATTCATAAAAAAAACTCCTTTCAGTTACATTGACTAGGCCTTTTATAGCCACTTTACATGCGTACAACCTCTATTAGCCTAGGAGCAACCTTATCGCAGCATAGCTAAAATGGGCATGCATCAGGCTTCTGCTCTCTTCCAAAAAATGAGAGTTTCTACTTCCTGAATGGGAGGTGCCACTGGGTGTTCCCAGCCTCTGTTAGTGTTCTAACTTCAATTGTTTTTCTTCTCCTTCATTGTACATACCATCACATCTTTCGTTGCCTTTCATATCGTGTTTCTTCGCTTTCCTTTTTGGTATCAAAACCCCAAAAATAGTTTGTGTTGTTCCTTTTTCAACCTTCATCATAAACCCTGGAATCCAAATCTCATGCTTTGAACCCCTGATTATAGCAGTTTGCAGTGAGATTTGAGTTCTAAATCAAATCGGAGATCATTCATCCCAAAGACTTCGATCAAGATCAATCGACATTTGATTGAAGTTATTCGAAGCTTCACTTCAAGTCCAGAATCCTCCCAACTCATATTGGCCTACCAGAAAAGCATAAATGTTAGCCCAGGGAACAGAGGCGAATAGCAAATCGTCTTCTTGCACGTACTTCCCTTGGAAATTTGGGCAACTGAAAAAGGTGGATCGTGTAAAGGGATACTGATGACCTGGATTCATACCTTGGTGT